CAGAGAAGTCCCTGATCCATTTCTGCCACCTTCTCAGGGGAAATGGCTCCTGTGTCTCGCCGCTCTGCCTGTCAAAACATTTCCCCTTACATTTCACCTAAACACCTCCTCTGCTGCAGTGTGAGCCTTTGACTCCAGAGCCTTCTCCCTGTTGCCATGGCAAACAAGCAGCAACTGTACTCCCTCCTCCCTTCACCCCCCACACACCAACCCCCCCCTTCCTAGCACTGCAGCTCCTGCTCTGCTGTCCCTAGCTTGGGTTCCTCCAACAGGGCCAAGCCCCAAACCAGCTCCCTTCCCTTAACCTACTTACTGACATCCTGGCCATCCCCTAGGACCCTTCCCCAGCCACTTCTAGTCCTGCTACTCTCTCCAGCCATAGAACAATCATCTCTGGCCCTCAAGTACTCTGTACTAGTTACTACCTGCTGCTGTTACCCTATGAGTCAGCTCCCATCTGCTCTGGGACGCCCCAGAAAGCAGACCAGGCAGCCTCCTCCAAGGCCCCTAGTGCCACAGCCTTATTTACCCTTCAGTCTCAGGGGAGCAAGAAAGAACACAAAGGTAGGGGTCTTGGGCCTTCTTTGGTGTCTTTAGAGTTGCCAGCACCACCTACTTATCCCTGGGGACTTGTTGACCCCATTCCTTGGGGGCCCAACCACCCAGCCTTTCCCACCTCCCAATTTCCAGCCAGTTCCTTACTAGCAGCAATGCTGCAAACTGCTCACTGTCATTCTTGGCCTCACGGAGGGCTCCCAGGTAGCGCTCCAGGGTGGGGTTTCGGCTCTCTGCCTGGTTCAGAGCTGGCTCGCAATCTGAGGCCATGATGCCCGCCTTGCCCAACTGTGAACACAAGAGGGACTGAGCATCTCTCTGCAGAGGAGGGGCGGGGGTGGGGTGGGGGTGAGACTGGAGGATGAAGGAAGGGAGGGAGGAAGAGAGGGAGGGAGGGATTAGCACAGAGGGAGGGAAGGAGAAGACTTGGAGAGGTGGGCTCCTCAGGACTGACTTCCCTTGAGGGAGACCCTAGAAGGGGCTGGACCTGCAAATTCTTAGGAATGAAGGAGGGACCCTGGTCCAAGGTCACCTCCAGAAAGCGGGAAAGAAGGACCATGCATCCTGCTGTTCAGCTGGACAGCTCACCTCACCAATCTCCTGGGGGGTGGAAGGGAGCTGGCTTCACTGCTCAGCTGTCCCCCTGGCACCAGGGGCCAGATTTTATCTTTCTCCACCAAGGCAGAGGGAGTGAGTGAAGAAGGACAGACAGGGAGGAATGAAGACAGACAGGGGTGAAGTTCGATTATCCGGACTCAGGCTGACACGGGGGAAAAGGACATTCTAGGCTTCCCTTCCCCTCCCTTCTTCAGAGGCAGCAGATAAGCTTCAGCAGAAGTGAGAACACAAGGCGCTGACCAGGGAAGGCTTGGAGGCCTCTGGGGACCCCAACCCTCCAGCCAGGGCTCTGAGTCGCCCCCGCAGGCTCCTGCCTCCTCTCCCTTTCCTCCCTCGGGCAGAGGCTGCTGCTGCTGCAGTAGCAGCAGCAGCAGCAGCAGCAGCAGCAGCAGCAGCAGCAGCAGCAAAATTAACCCTTTGCGTACCCTGTCCTCGCCCTCCCCGTCCCGCTACCAGCCTGTAGATGCCAGCAGGGGCTGGAGAAGCAAGAAGGGGTCCTGGAGAGTTCCTAGGACAACGGAGAATCCAAAAGCCGGATAATCGAAGCGGGGCTGCTGAGATGGGGAGATGAGGAGGGGAAGAGGGTTCCTGGCGGTCACCACCTGTCCCGCCGCAGCCAGGTCACAACACGACATTGATGAAGTCACGACAGGGCGGCGATGAGATCACACTTCACGATGGCGCGGTGATGTCACGGAGAGATCACGGCAAAATCACGACATGGGAGACAGCCCTCAAAGATGACAGCGCAAATTAAAAAAAAAAGATAAATATTGAAAAGGGTTGTGACAAAATGGAGTCTTGACAGGGCACGATGATGTCGCGATATGGCACGATGGAGTCGCGATAGGGTCCCCAGGGTGTGTCGGCATCGATCAGCGCCGGCTCGGAGAGGCCCCGGCTGGGATGCAGGGGAGGGCCTGAAGGGGGCTGAGCTCACCAGGCTGCGGCCCCGAGAGGCGAAGTCTTCTCCGAGCGCGATGCTCCAGGAGCCTGGGGCCGCTGCTCACGCCGCGTTGCCCACTCCGGGCTCCAGGCTACTGCAGCTCCACCCCCACCCCCGCATCGTTTTCGACCAATCCGCGGCGGCTTCACTCCGAGCTCTGGCCAATGGCATGTCTGGGCGCTAAGCCGTAGGGGGTGCCGCCGTTGACGCCATCTTGCTTGTGGGTATTGCCCGAGTCTGGGGTCTGGGGCTCGTGCAAAGGAGGCAAGGTGCAGACTGCCTCTAGAGAGCGGGAGGAGAGAGGCTTGGGGTCCAGATTCCTTCGTTTGTGCGTAGTTCTACTCACCCAGCACTGCCCCTCCTCCACCCAAGGCTCGCAGCTGGAAATGCGCTTCCGGGGGGAGGGGCGGGAGGGCTTGGTTAGGAAAAGAGTGTGTTTCCGGGTTGAGCCCCGGGAGGTGGGAGGAGGCGGTGTTTCCGGCCGCTGTTGCTGTCCGGGAGGCTGAGGCGAGAGGTAGCTGTCCGGGTGGGGAACCCGCACTACCTTCTTCCTCTTCCTCCTCCTCCTGGTGAGGGGAGCGAAGATTGGGGCCCCCGAGCCCATGGACCAGGAGGAGGCGGAGGCCGCCGAGAGCCGGGGCCCCACTAAGTGGCCCTGAGCCCCGGTAGGTGGCCGGGGGCGACTGGCTGCCAGGCCGAGGACCAGGAGTTCAGGGGAGGGGCAGGAGGGACAGTCGATGCCTGAGGGTGTGCTGGCCGGGTGTCGGGACCCAGAGGTGGTGCTCCTGGTCCGGCCAGGGCAGCTAGACTCTTCTGGCCTGGCAGGTGCGCAGCTTGGGTCCCAGGCTGAGTTCCGCTGTTTTCCGGCCGGGGCCTGGTAGTGCATCTCCCTTGTCCCCTGACAGTCAGGTGAACAGACCGGGCTTGGAGCGCTGCGGTCCTTCTTCCACCCTTAACCTCTGGAGTCTCGCCCTTAGCTGCTGTCTGTGGTCTTCCCACCAAGATAGAAAGTTGGTGCAGAATGGGAGGTTGGGGGGCGGGGTTGAGCACGTTGTGTAAATTACAATGCGAAACCTGCCTCAGAATTTTGAAAATTATGCCTCACAGAGGGTCCTGTCGTGGCTGCAGTGAGCACAAACGTTAAATGAGGAACTCAAAATAGAAAACATCAGGTGGGATTCGAGGAAAGCTTTGCATTTTCTCCTCTCATGATATTTGTGCCCAACTGACAATAGTTGCAGTTAGTGAAGTGCATTAGCCACTTTCCTCATGCTTTCTATGTGATCAACAGACTGAAAACTAGGAACAAATTGGAAAGACGACCTCACAGAACAAGCTGTTCATTTTTCCAGCTATTTGGAAAACAATGTCTGCAAATATAAGCAAAGCTATTCATGGCAGTCTGTTCTGTAACTTTCCCAAATATCTGAGACTTTTTAAAAAAGCTTTATTCTTGATTACTCATACAAGCTGAATAGGCTGTTTCAGTCGTGCTCTGTCGTTGTTCAAACATATCTTATCACTGTGTACATAAATGGAGTTCCACGTATGTAGCTGACAGACTGAACTATGATACATCCCCCATCAACCTGAAGTATTAAGTAAACATTACCCCCTGCTCTGTCTGAACAGCTGCTGTAACAGAGTGCTTTTATTTTGGGTGTACTTGTAACGCCCTAAATGCCAGAACTCTTGCTAGATTTCTAGATTTTCATTTGTCAAGTATTGTGGGGGTGTGTTTTCTCTCTCTGGGGTGTTACCCTTTGATTCCACAACAGATTATTTGGATCTGGGTGATGTTGTTACTGCCTCTGGTCAGCAAGCCTTTTAACTGGACAGCAGTGATTTGTGCCCCTGGGCAATTGTAGGTTTCAGAAGAATGACTAGTTGGGAGTGCAAATGAAATTATCTCTGCCTCTAGATAATGCAGGGTTTGTAAGACATTGCACTTCTAATCAGCTTGCTAGTCCACTGGTGTTTATTACTCCTGTTTTGAAAACCTATTCATTTCTTTTCTGCTTTTCCCACCTACCTCTAAGGCTATTAACGACAGGTGTTGAGTCACCTTGAGTTTTAAATCCTTTTGTGGTAGGCAGAAATGTGTTGGGTAAGATACACACACACACACACACACACACACACACGCATACTTACCCATTCCATCTTGGAAGGCTAGAGAGAAGTTGCTGGATATACTTTCTAACTTAGGCTCCGTTTCATAATCTCTTGAACATGTCTCTGGCCCACACACCTCTTTTCTGTCCCCTGCTCCCATAAATACAATATAAAACAGCTAGAAATAGTAGTGCATGGAAGTGAATGAGAAAGACAGTCTTTCAGATTCTTATGGCACAGTGAAAGCCTTTTTTTTTTTTTTTTTTTGGGTGGGCTGCACGTCAGTTTCTTAGCGTGTGTGCATCTGTGTTTGTTTCTTGGTATTAGTCAGCACTGATATCCACCCCAGGCAGTGCTGATCTCCCTGTATGGTGGCTGGGAATGGAGGTTAGGGGTTGTCTGCTTGTGTCACTTGCCAGATGTGGTGTGTAGTTAGGACAGAAGGTTTTTGAGTTGTTTCTTTAGAACTCAGTTAACCCTCATAATGTTGCCAAGATTTATATAATAATTTATACAAAATAGCAAAGTTGTGTAAGAGGGAAGAAACATGGAAAATCTGTTTTTCTGCTGAAAGGGACCTAAATCATACAGCCTGTAGGCTTTAGGGTAGCCGGCACAGTGCAGAGATGGGGATTGGTTAACACTGAGGTGTAAACTGGATAGATTTTTAAGGTAATAGTGGTGGGCATGGATAGTAGCAAACTGCAGAGTATGCGTCCTCCCTATAGACAATCGTATTAAAAATTTTGAAAACACTGGGCCAGCCGTAACCCTCTGTTTTACTTCTGAGGGTCCAACCTCTTCATGTCATAGATAAGAAAGTATGTTTGGTCAAAGTCCTAAAGCTGTTGGTAGTAGAACTGTAACTGAAACTCAGATCTTGTTTTCTGGCTGGTGCTCTTTGCATTCTATCATATAGATTAGAAAATAATGGAACATAAAATGTTTCAGTTTTTAGTGGATTTGTTTCATATCCCTCGCCAGTGTTGTCACCCTGATAATTATAGGCTATGTCAAAGCTCAGATTTGAAATTTATAAGCCGGGGTAAGCAGTAAAAGACAGATTCAGAATTTCTCTCTGCCCTGATCTGTCACATTCTCTAGCATTCCACATTTCCAGGAATCAATTATTAATTACTTGGCATACAATTTCTTCTCTTTCTATCTTTCTAGTGTACTCGTTCAGCCCGTCTGGAAGGCCATGGAGAAGAGGCTGGGAGTCATGCCAAGTCCTGCTTCCTGGATTTTATCAGGATATTATTGGCAGACATCTGTGAGGTGGTTGAGAAGCCTGTACCTGTTTTATACTTGCTTTTGCTTCAGTGCTCTGTGGTTGTCAACAGGTACCATTTTCTTTATAGATTTAAGATTTTTTAAAAGGCCCCTTACGTGAGTCCTTCAGTGAATTTTAAGGAGTTAGGAGGCGGAACGGTCATTTTTTGGTGGATATGTAGTTTGTTGTGTTTGTTTTGTTTTGGAACTGGAATTTAAACTGGATTCTTTCTCATAAGGGAACATTGGCACAGTCATTTTGAGATTGGATAAAGCTGTATTAATAACAAAAAGGTTTCAAAAGCTGAACAGCTGGGGAGGAATTAGAACTGCATGTTTCCACTTAATAACTTAAAACCTTGGGCAAAGTTACTTAACGTCTTTGAGAAAGAGTAACATCTACCTTAGAGTTTGATTTGAGGTAGATGTTATTTTATTACAATTAAAGCTTATAGTACAGCAATCTGAATGTGCTTTGATTACTTTTCTTTGCTGAAGCAATCTACACTTATAGGAAGACTGCGTGCCTTGCTTTTTCCATAGAAGTGATCTGTGTTAATACATAGAGTATGTTTTCTTCCTGGAGATTATTTCACCGGAATCAGTACTAACAAGGCCAGATTTCAAAGAATACCCTTTCTGTCTTTCTTCTTTCAGTTCTTTTGTTAACTTTGTTTTTTCAATGGAGTATGAGAGAACAGCAATTTGAGAAAGACTTCTGAGTATGCTGCCATTCCAGGCAGTGACCAAAAGATTTGTATAGAGACAGTGTCTGGGATAACTAATTAGCCTTTTGCTCTTATAATTACAAAGATTTTTATTGGTCTCCTAAAGGAGTTAGTGGCCATAACCTGAAGACCCAAGTAATTACTGAATTTAGCAATTTCAGTAACATGAACTTTGGGGTTTTTGTTGTCTTGCCGTGTTAGTTGATGATTACATAATTATAGTGGTGGAAATTATAGTTGACGGAAAACTGAACTAAATTTTTTTTACCCTAGATGATGCTTTGCTGGGCAGCAGGCTATATTAGGCCAACATTTTATGTAAATCATTTGAATTAAATAAATAATTGTTTTAGCATGGTCAGAGTAGGAAAATCACATGTTATTTATTTATTTATTTATTTTGAGACAGAGTCTCACTGTGTCACCTTTGGTAGAGTGCCATGGTGTCACAGCTCACAGCAGCCTCCAACTCTTGGGCTTAGGTGATTCTTTTGCTTCAGCCTCCCAAATAGTTGGGACTATAGGTGCCTGCCACAATGCCCGGTTATTTTTTTGTTGCAGTTGTCATTGTTGCTTAGCTGGCCCCGGCTGGGTTCGAACCCGCCAGCCTCAGTGCATGTGGCCAGCACCATAACCACTGTGCTATGGGCGCTGAGCCAAAAAATCACTTTTTTTTTTTTTTTTTGTGAGACAGAGCCTCAAGCTATCCCCCTGGGTAGGGTGCCCTGGCATCATAGCTTACAGCAATCTCCAACTCGTGGGCTCAAGTGAGCCTCCTGCCTCAGCCTCCCAAGTAGTTGGGACCACAGGTGCCCGCCACAACGCCTGGCTATTTTTTGGTTGCAGCCATCATTGTTGTTTTTGGTGGCCCAGGCTGGATTCGAACCCGCCACCTTAGGTGTATGTGGCTGGTGCCTTAGCCACTTGCGCCATAGGCACCCAGCCAAAAAATCACATTTTTTGAAGTGTACTTGCTATATACCAAATTCCTTATTATAAACATTACATACCTCTTCTCATTTAATCTTTGAGATAATCCTGAAACAGATGTTTTATTCCCATTATATAGATAAGGAATTTGAGGCCCAGAGGGACAAAATATCTTGACCAAGGTCATACTGCAAGAACATGACAGATTCATGTCTAGATTCTAAACTCAAGTTTGTCCACTCTAGAACTCCTATCCTTTGTCTTTTGCTACTCTGCCTTGTCACTCTAAGTGATCTTTTGTAGGACCAAAGACAGGTTTTTTTTTTAAATCCAGAATCATTATTCAGCATGCTTGGGATGAGGATGAAAGTCCGTGTTTTTCTGCATTTTCCAGTCTAATACTGGTTCAACATAGCATTTTGGGCTCATTAGGCAACTCTTTAGTATCCCTTGAGCTTGGTACTTAAAAATAGCACCACAATGAGCAGGTTGAGTATAAAAGTGCAAAAGTGTTGTTGTTAAAAGTGGTTCTGGTGGGGATTAGATTGTACCAGTTCATTTTAGAAAAGTTTGGTGCTTTAGGGCAGGGCCTGTGGCTCAGTAAGTAGGGCGTTGGCCCCATATACTGCAGGTGGCGGGTTTGAATCCATCCCCGGCCAAACTGCAACAAAATAATAGCCGGACATTGTGGCAGGTGCCTGTAGTCCCAGCTACTTGTTAGGCTGAGGCAAGAGAATCTAAAGCTTAAGCCCAAGAGTTTGAGGTTGCTGTGAGCTATGACACCATGGTACTCTACCCAAGGAGACATAGTGAGACTGTGTCTCAAAAAACAAAAAAACAAAAAAATTTTAAATTTCAAAAATTAAGGCTCAGCACCTATGGCTCAAGTGGCTAAGGTGCCAGCCACATAAACCTAAGGTGGTGGGTTCAAGAATCCAGCCCGGGCCCGCCAAAACAACAATGACAGCTGCAACCAAAAATAGCCGGGTGTTGTGGTGGGTACCTGTGGTCCCAACTACTTGGGAGGCTGAGGCAGGAGACTTGCTTGAGCCCAGGAGTTGGAGGTTGCTGTGAGCTGTGATAACACCGCACTCTACACAGAGGGGACAGCTTGAGGCTCTGTCTCAAAAAAAAATTGCAATATCCTAATAAGGAATAAAAGGCATAGAGAGTACCACAAATAAGAAATTAAAATGAATGTATTTAAGATGCTTATTCTCTTTACCAAGCAAAGAGCTGCAGATTGAAATGAGAAATCCTTTTAAAGCTATCATGCTGATAAAGATTAAAGTAAAAATATCTAGTGCTGCCAAGGGGTGATGTGATTGCCCTGATACAGTGCTGGGAAGTTTGAACAAAGAACTTTTTGGCTTAAATATCAAGAGCCCTAAAAAGTTCATATTCTTTGACTTAATTCCCTTACTTATCTCAAGGGTACATTTAGATGTGAAGAAGAGCACTCATCAACACTCATTTATTCTGTTCTGCAAACATTGCTATAATCTGCCTAACAATAAGAGGGTGGTGAAATTTTTGCATATCCACGTGGTAGAGTCAGTTTAAAATAATGAGTAGATGGGAAATGCTCCTAGTATTAAATGATAAAAGCAAGAGATACAACTGCCTACTTACTATAGTGTCAGTTTTGTGAAAAGAAAAAATTACATAATAGAAAGTATTCTGAGGTTGGGTGTGCGGTGGCTCAGGCCTGTAATCCTAGTATTCTGGGAGGCCAAGAATGTGTCTATGGAGGATGTGTCTATGAGCTCAGGAGTTCCAGACCAGCCTGAGCAAGAGTGAGACCCCGTCTCTAAAAAATAGTCAGGCATTGTGGCAGGCTCCTGTAGTCCCACCTAATTGGGAGATTAAGGCAAGAGAATCACTTGAGCCCAAGAGTTTGAGGTTGCTGTGAGCTATGACGCCAGAGCACTTAACCCTAGGGCAACTGAGTGAGACTCCATCTCCAAAAAAAAAAAAGAAAAGAAAAGAAAACATTCTAGTTGGGTGAAAGTATTTCAAATTGTATACATAAACAGTTCACTGTACCCCATGATAGTATTAATGTACATTGCTATGATAAAAAAATAAAAAATAAATAAAACATTCTGAAACAACATTATTTAACTAAAAGTTAATGTATTTTTTGTGTGGTGACATTACTATTGCTATACTTTTCTGTGTTTTCCAGAATTTTTTTCCAGTGTATTTGTAGAACTTTTTTATAAGGGGGAAAAAATCCTACCTAAAAAAGCAACAACAGGCTCGGCGCCTGTGGCTCAAGTGGCCAAGGTGCCAGCCACATACACCTAAGGTGGCGGGTTCGAATCCCCAGCCTGGGCCTGCCAAACAACAATGATGGCTGCAACCAAAAAATGGCCAGGCGTTGTGGCGGGCGCCTGTAGTCCCAGCTACTTGGGAGGCTGAGGC